GATCCAAGTTCTTGGTGTGGAGTTTTTGTGTTGGTTCCTGAAACCTACAGTTGCGTCGCATTGGTTTCTTTGTACTCCATTTTCACCTTGCACTCTACATGTTGTTCTAGAAGGTTTGAAGGCGTGGCTGGGAAGTAGTGTATGGTGGTTTAGCAAAATGTGGAGACCTTTAGTAGTTTTAGATTTGCAATTGTGTTCTTTAGAATTTGAAATGAAAAAGGAAAAGAAAATTGAGTTGGAAATATGGATTTGTAGGAAGTTAGATTTGGGTTCGAATAATCTAGATCTTAGGAATTATGAATTTTCATTTCAACATTTTTCATCAGTAAATTTTACTTCAATTCTTGTTTAATATGAAATGGACTAAGAAAATTTAGTATCAAAAATGCTGAGAAAATTGTTGTGTTTGGCTATTAAGAAAATTTGTTCAGAAAATTTGTTCAGAAAATTTTGGTTGATTTAATTGCAAAACTCTTTTTGATTAATTAAATTTATATAATAAGAATTATAAATAATTAAAATTACATTAAAATTAATGGTAAGTTAATTGATTTAATTTATGAATTAAAAAGAGATTAAATATAATTATAGTAGGTGGGTTCAATGAAGATATTAATGGATGTTTAATTTGGTAACTTTTTTATTTTATCGTATGATGTGTAATTATGTCATCAATCAATTTAAGAAAAATGTCATCTAAAATATTTTAACTGTTATATGTTACTTAACTTATGGAAAGACAAAAATTATATAATTTTGAGAGTTGAGGAACCAAAAAAGTACAAAAAATAATTAAAGGATGAAAATTGTGCAAACTCACTAAGTTGAGGGACCAAAATTAGAATTTAACTCTTTTTATTTTTATTTTTATTGTCCTCTTTGTCAACGTTGGTTTAAAATTCAAATTACCCAAGTAAACTAATATGATAAAGTATAGCGACCTTCCAACTCTAGGCCACACTTTCTTTAACTCAAAATATTCACCAGAAAAACTAGACGTTGGAAAGCTTTAATTTCAACTTCTGGGTCCCGATCCACCCAGCTCCAGCTCCAGCTCCACCCCACCCAACAGATTCAGACCCATCGGAGAAACGTGTCCATTTCTTTTACAGACAGATACTCAACGGACTCAGAATCACTTCATCTGCTGATTTTTTGTTCGAAGATTCGTGTGCTGATATTAAGGACTGAAGAAAGAATCTGTGTCACATAAAAATAAAAAAAAAAGCTGGGCTTTTAAAGGCAAACAAAAAACATCCCAAAGGCGAGGGCTTTTTCACTGCACATTACACTTTCCCGTTCTTGGACCCCTGAGCCATATAGCGCCTGCGTTTTGAATTTCTAAGTGGAAGAGTGAGATTGAGCCTTCTGGGGTTTAAGCAAGCCTTTTGAAGGAAATGGGTGAATCTGCTTGTCTTGTTCGATCGTTTTCTCACCCTGCTGATGCTTCTTCCCGTGAAGCCATAAAGGTCAGTTTTTGAAGCATTTTGTCGTAAATTTGTTTAATTTTCTGAATTTCAGTTTGTGGGGTTCTTGTTTTCTATGAAAAGTTTTAGTGGGTATGTTGACTCAGATGTTTTTAGTGTGTCTCGCATTCTATTAGTAGCATATTGAGCTTGTTAATAATACTTTTCCTTCCGTTTCATAGTGACCAGACAGAAAATGTAACAATTGCTAGGATGTTTGACGTCCTACCTTGAAATGTATCCAGTTCTTGCTAGAATCAACATGTCAGTAATAGAAGCTGCTCTTAAGATGCTTCTGTTCTTCAATTTCTTTAAAAGGCTGATTTTCTTCCCATCATTCAGGTTTTGAAATTATGTGTGTGGTTCTGTGCTTTTATAAACTCTATCTGTTACCATATGTTGTTTTTCTATTGTCGCATCATGTATTGCTTTCAAATTTGCTATTTTTGTATTTATTGAGATGATATTTGTGTGAAATAACCAAATTTAGAAGGTAACTTCAAATGACAGGGTGATCCAATTCGTGCACTTACGGAGTCAGTGTCTTTTGGTAGATTTATGTCAGAATCTCTGGCTTGGGAGAAATGGTCTGCTTTTTCTCACAATCGTTACTTGGAAGAAGTTGAAAGGTTTTCGAAGCCAGGTAGTGTTGCTGAGAAGAAAGCATTTTTTGAAGCTCAGTTCAAAAGAAGGGCTGCAATGAGAGCAGCAGCCTTGGCTGAGGAAGCAAAGACGGTTGCCAGTGATGCCTTTCCAATGAGAGCCACTAATGCAATTCCGAATTATTCTTCTTCAAATATGGCATCAGCAAATGCTAACTTCCTGGTTGTGATGGCTGAAAAACAGGATACTAATGTCTGTGAGAGCGAGGTAGCTGATAGTGATAATGCTAATGAATGCAATCCAAATGTTGAAACAGATAACCTAGCCAACTTGAAAAGTCCAGCAGTAATGGAACAGAATCTTGATGAGGTTAACCTCACCCAGGTTGAAAATTCAAAGCATCTAGAAAAAGCAGATGAGGAGAGCATGGTTTTGGCCAAACCAGGCGAGAGGATGGCCCATAAGGTATTTGCAGCTTATATATTGTTTCCTTGTCTGTCCTATGTCAATATATATGTTGTTAAATTTACAGCTATTAATGATGATACTGCAGGAATCTGCTGATAACTCAGCCTCACCAAGCAAGAAAAGCAGAACAAGTTCTTCATCAAAGCCATCAAGTAACAACAAAGCATCCCAACTTCCATCATGTCTTTCCAAACCAGCCACCCCTTTACATGCCAGGAATGGTAATGATAACAATGTTGGTTTGAGCAGTAAGAAGGCTGATAGAGAGTCCAATGAGAAAAAGAGAAGAATTCCTAATTTCCTACACATGTCAGTCAGTTTCGCTGCTTCTAGTGATGGAGAAAGTCGGAAAAGATCGCTTCAAATGGCCAAAGATAGTTCAACTCCTCTACGAACCCCAACCCAGTATCTGCAGAAAGCTGTTAGTCAGGAGAATTGGGTGTTATCAAATCATAAAAGGCAGTCAAATTCCACATCAAAGTCATCAGCTTATGGTGGAACATCCAAGCTTCAATTATCTCCCTCCATACCAGCAGCCACCAGAATAGGAAATAATGATGCTTGCATTAATAAGAAGTCTGCAGGGGATTCAAACAAGAAAAAGAGAATGATTTCAAAATCCCTCCACATGTCAATAAATTTTGCTTCATTTGGTAATGAAACAAGTAAAAAATCACTCGGGACACCTAGGGACCTTTCAACAACACTACAAACTCCTACCAAGGTACTTCTCCTCTTGTTACCTTGCCTGTTATTCTTCTTTAAATATACACATACAAATACTATGCTTCTGCAGTGTGCATGTCATATGTGAGCATATAAAATTTTTTTTTTTTTTTTATAATTCTTGAATTCTCCATAAAAGGGTAATTAATATTTGTAGTTGAAAATCATTTTCAAGGGTAATTAATATTTAGGGGTGTCAGCACCAAACATGTCCTTTTTTTTTTTCTTTTTTTTTCTTTTTTTGAGGGGGGGCAGGGGGGCGGTGGGAATTGTAGAGGATAGATTTACAGATGTGTTAACCATGATGACACCATGAGTTTCAGCACCAACTGCAGGCATCAGTTAATGCAGAGGCAAAGCATCCTTCAAAAGTTCTACACTCAGAAGACCAAAGGTAGTCTTATTTTCAATTTTTCTTATAAGGTACCTTGCATTGGCATGATACCTTACTCAGTAAGTTACTTTTTTTGGACGGATAAACTGCCGTGAATGACAGAAACTTAAAACTTTTTGCATACATGATGGTCCCATCATGCTATGAATTAGTGACGTAATTTCTAGTTTTCTACAAATTTTCTTTTCTGAAACTAGGTACTTTATGACACTGCATTGCAACAATGGGTATAGTTTAACTTGCCTTATTCAGTTGTCTCCTTTTCCCTGGATTTCCCTTTTGAGGACACAATTAAATTTTCTTTCATTGGAAATTCTTAACCATCTTCATATCATTACATGGCAGTTGTTCAATTTCTTCGAACCCAACTGGAAGCAAAGCACGGCCATTTAGCTTCAGGAGTGAAGAAAGGGCAGCCAAAAGAAAGGAGGCATGATTAGATTTTTTCTTATTTTGGTTCAGCTCTACTGCCATGTTTGCAATTATGTCAAGCCTTAATAACATTTCCTTTACTCCATTCCAGTTCTTTCAGAAGCTTGAAGAGAAACTCAATTCAAAGGAAGCAGAAAAAGTTCAAGTGCAAACTCGATCTAAGGTAGAACTTACATAATAACCTCATTAAAATGCCACAAAGTTAGTTAATTATACTGCTGAATAGAGTTGTCTTCTTTTTTTTTTTTTTGGCCTGCATGAATAGAGATAATATCCTTTTAGTTCTGTGTTTTATAAGATGCCTGAGTTGATGGAGTATATTTTATATATAAATTATCTTATAAATCTAGTTCTGTATTTTCATTTTCTCTTGTTTGCTTGTGAAACTGGTATAGTATGATATATGTTGTACCATGCAGGGGAAAGTTGAGCATCACCTTAATACATTCAGACAGAGCACTGATTTGAAAACCAAGCCTATTGAAGATCATTCTCATGGATCATGGTCTCTGAGTAATCCCATGAAGAAGGTTCTTGCATCTGTCTTAACATGTTTTTGTTTGGGTGTGGCAATGTTTTTGGCTTTTCTATGGACAGAATCATCTTTTATTTCAAAATCATTAGGCATTGAATTCCATAAGAATGAAATTAAAATGGTTGGAGGAGCATATCTTGTTAGTGATTCTCTCTATGACCCTTCTCCTATGCTTACTTTCATTATTGGCTTAGGTGAGAGCACACAATGTCTGGACTCTCCTGAATTACAAATTTCTCTGTTCTTATGACTGGGTAGAGAAATGTGCCCCATATTTTCCTCAGATGCTGGTGTTCTAAATAAATGTTGAATCATGCCTTGCAGATCCCTTTGACAAGACCTCGATCACCAAAACTTGGAAGGAAGCGATCTCCCAGCAGCTCGCAGGATGCAAGATCTAAGCCTCCTCAGAGGCGTTCCATCAATACTGAAATTTCTAAGCATGCCACGCAGAAAGTTAACAGAACAACTTGTTCAGTGAGAGGGACCTCACTTGCAAAGAACAGACACGAGAATGCTTCTCCAAACATCCAGCTTTAGTCATCAATGAGGTATCCCGCAAGCAATGGCATGGAGGAGGATTAGTTGATCATTGACCCAACGGTGGATCGTCCATGATATCATTTGTATTTACACATCACTCAGATGAAAAAAATAATCTTGTGATGGAAGATAGGATTCATGGTAGGAGGATTTTGATATCAGCGGAAAGTTTGTAATTGTTTGTGAGCAAGAAGAAAAGAGGCAATTTCATTGCAAGTAATGGTATGATAAATTTATAATAAACCATATATACAAGTGCAGCTTTTCTGCAAATGAGAATTTTCTCCATTTTTCTGTCTTAACCTTTACAATATGAGCTTTCTGCAATCTTTACATGTGCACCATACCTTTATGGCTATACCAATTAATGTTTACATGCCTCTTCTATGTATAACATTTTATACAGCATTGAGAGGCGCATGTGCCATGTTAAAAACTTGAACGACTTGAGTTATTATATTCAATGTTCATCACCACTACTATCATACATTTTTCAACATCCCACTCCAAATTGATTGGGAAAGTTACATCCCTAATGCTCTATAGAGTTGAAAAATACCCGATTAATAGATAGGTTAAGGAAGATGCAATGGAAGAACACAGCAACTTCATGCTATGAACAAACCTTGGTCTATTACAGGACACTCGGTTGGGTCAAAGATATGCTCGTAGTCAAAACTCAATGCATCATACAGGTGGGAAGGAACTTTGGCAAAGAGTGTTGGATCAATGTACTCTGTAAAATCACTGTACTCTGTAAAATCTATGTTCTGGAGACCAAGATTCATAGCATAACAATCACCTTGAAGCACAGGTGCAAAAGGTGCCTCAACTTCCCAGTATATGTTTCTCTGCACAGATTCCCAATCAGTGAGGCAATTTAGATTGAATCCCTGGCTTTTCATGTTTGATATAGTAGCAGAAATGGGCTCAAAAACTTGACCGTTGAGTGATTCGCTCATCTGAACAGGAAATGAATCAAAATGCTTGATGTGGTTGCCTCTGTTATACTCATCGTATGAAGGTTTGGCTTCGATGCTGCTACTTGCATCTCTTTTTGTTGTGGACAGTCCAGAACTGATGGGTGGAGCTGACTGCAGATATTCACTCTGAATGTGATGCTGTGGATCAGGCAGTGGTAGTTGGTTGAAACAGTTCTCTAAATCAAGCGGTCTGCTCTCTTGCTTGAAATGAATCTCAGCAATTTCACTCAAAGAGTAACCTGATGGGATGGGATGGTCAAATGATGTGTAATTCATGCCAGAATCATTTGGTGCAAAGGAATCATCAAAGCACATCTGTGAACTCTTGGCTTTATGAGGACCAGGAAGATCTACAGACAAAGTTCCTTTCATATCTGCCTCAGGCACTGAAGCGTTTCTTTTTTGGTCTCCTTCATGGCCTCTGACATCAACACTCTGGACAAGTGAGTTAGCAACTGGAAAACCATAGCTTCCACCCAGAACATCATTCTGGTGCATGTTTGTTAAATTCTTATGCCCAAAAATTCCTGTAGAATCTTTTGAAGGTGAATCTGCATGCTTAGTTCCAATCACAGAGCTTTTTGCATCATTTTCCTTCAGCAACCTCCCCAAATAGAGGCGGTATTTCTGCATGAAAGGAATTTTTTCAGTGAGAATCTGAATTATATTTAAATAAGTGATAAATATACACTTCTTTCAATCTGTTTTGAACATTTTAAAAACCATGATGCATTTCCAATGAATAATAATTGGAAAGTTGGTTATAATGGACTACCCAAAAGTTTAAGCAACTAGAAAATTGCCCATGCTAAGCTCTAACAAAGGCATTTCCAGTTCTTTGAACCCTTTTTGAACATCTTTAAAAATGAAATCGTATATCAATTGCACCAGCGCTAAAACTTCGCACTAAGAGTAAATTAGATTTGTCACTTAGCAAGCATATTAAATACAGATACAAGGCTACATGAGTAACAACTTAGCAAATATAAGAAGCAAGAGACAAGAGTTGGGTCCACCTGCAAGTGGCTAGCGACATTTTCTCTTGTCAACCATGGAACATTCATCAAGTCGAGAATTTTCTTAGGACCAACTTCTGCCGAACAGACATCACATTATCATATCACTCTAGAAGAATGGTATAAAAAGGTAGCTCATTGGAAACTTCATAAATGAAAAGGAAAGTTTTAAAGTTTATTTGAAGGACGCATTACTATTATTTGATGATGATAATGCAGAGATTAAATTTTAAAGTAAAAAAGTGCTACTATACTTACTATCAAGTCCAATATGATTAACAGCTTTGACAAACTTTTGATGAAGGTCTACTGACCAAACAACTCTAGCTTTCTTGGTAGAAGGATCACTGAAGTCTTTGTCATCATGCCTGGTTTCTGCATCTTTTCTTTTCTTCGCTGATGTTGCATCCTCTCTGCTGAACAGATTCCCATCCTCAGACAGATCTGAATCACTTATTGTCATATGAATACTTTCTAAACCTTCCAGACTTTCTATGTCTCTCACTTCATGTATCCTTTTCCTGAATACATGCTGCCAAATGTTGCGAAGCTCTTTCATTCGTATAGGCTTAAGAAGGTAATCACATGCTCCATGCTGAACACCTTTCATCACTCTTCTTGTTTCTCCATCAACAGACATCACTGGGTTTCAACAACAGCAACTTCTCAGAAGTTGAGTTCAATTGAAAAAAAGGATATATATCAACATTAAAAAGAGGATCTAGATGTTCCAACAGAGAGCTTACTAATAACAGGAAGATCCATTTCAAGTCCAACATGCTCTAGAAGTTTAAATCCATCCATGTCAGGCATGTTGACATCACTGATCACAATGTCATAACCATCTTTCTTTTCACGAAGCTTGTTCAGAGCATCTCTTGCTAAAGAACAAGTAGTTACTGAAAAACACAGAGGCAGCAACACGTGCAAAGTAAATGTCAGAATGGCATAAAAGGCTGGTTACAAAGTCGAATATATAGTCACCAAGCAGAGGTTAAATAACAAATATATCCAACAAGGAACAGCTATCATGAGGACATGAAAAATCAAATGCACCATTCTGGGATCAACTTTCGGTTTTCACTTACAGAAATTACAAAATGATTAGGGTTTTTTCTTATTTATTTAATTTTGCAGATCAACAACCATTTCTAGATCAATAAGAACCATCATTAGTCTGATAAAGATCATGCATGAAAAGAAACACACATGAGTGCAACAAGTGACTGCAACTGCAGAGATATGCTTAATAATTAATGGGTGATTTGATCAGGTGAAATCTCTTATGTTTGTTTAGGTTGAGGATCCTTGTATAAGTGGATGTAAAGGGCTGAGATAACCCTTGTGCCTCCTTAATGAAATACATCTTGTTACCAAAAAAAAAAAAAAAACAGCCTTCCACAAGAGTGCTGCAAGGCTAAGAGAGACAGTCAGCAAAAGTTCTTGAGCACTCAGGATTAAAATGAACATGGATGGATTCCCTCTGACCAACCTGGCCTATTAAACAATTGGCTTGTTGAAGCAAGGATGCTCAACATAAAGGAGCTTCAACTTATCTCAAGAAAAATTTTCACTTTGAGGTTGATGTTAGCAGTTTTAGCTAATGTCAAGCTTCAAACTTCCTAATGATTAAAATTAATTATGAACAAATTCAACAGATAAATGTACAAATAGCATTAGAAGACATTCCAAAAAATCTCTCACTAAAATTATTTATATTATTCATAATTCAAAGCAACTAGATCAGTTTGAAAGTTATCCATACATCTGAACCACGATAGTCTGGCTCAGTATCTATTTTCTGACAAAGGAAAAGAAAGAAAAAAGAAGAAATCTATCCAAAAAGCAAAAACCCACGGAAATTACTTAAATGAGCCTTTTAGTCTCTTACATAGTAACATAGCAAACTTCCATCTTCTGGAGGATGTGTATTTCATTAATCACTTTTAGCATCCCGACCAGAAAGATTTATCCATTCCTTTGGTAGCAGCAAAGATCACAGTGATGATTACATTGTGTCAATTTGCTGGCCTTCACTGCTGATAAAAAAAAAAAAAAAGAGGCTGTCCTTCACATAATGGAGCTTTTTTGTTGAAACTTATCCTTTTTAAAACAATTTTAACCTTTTGCTTCTTCAGTAGAGCCACAAAATTGGAAAGAAAATTTTCAAATGATACAAAACCAAAACCCAACATCTGATATTCAGAAACTTATCCTCAGAAGGCAGAAATCCTTATAGAATCATATTAATCAAGATAAATGAGCATTCCTATCTCCATGTCAACAAATAGAATAAATCACAATTTATGACAGAAATTAACAAAATTGAAAAATGGCTTAGGACTCATAGCAGTAGAGATGCTAAAGAAACATGGTCTATAATTGATTCCTTTCATACACATGATTAAATTTCATGGAATGAACTAAATTTCTTAATGATTGCTTGTACATTTTTAACATTCTTAGACTCTTTGATGAACCCATCAGTGGTAATGAACCTCAAGACTCAACCTTGCATCTCTAAAACCCTTCCATTTAAAGCAATTTGTATACTTAATTACTAAATTCAAATAAAGAAAGAACTATGAACTTCACACCCACTAATCAATCAGAAAACAAGCTGTCATTAAGAACACCACATCACAAAAAAACAAAAACACCAAAACACAAACAAACATATATACCCACATGCGTCAAACTTTAATGAAGAGTCAAATAAACAAAATCCAATAAGCAGGGCGCATCATAATGAATGAAAAGAAGAGTAACAAAGTATAGTTGGTTGAGGTAAACCTTCATAAGAACACTTTTTGAGCATCTTCTCAAGGATCTTCAACCAGGTTGGATCGTCATCAACAACAAGAACACGAAGGCCAGAGGGGAACGGGTCGCTTCGAGGGGAGGAGAAGCCACTCTCCACCATGGTTTAACGTGTGACGGTGAAGAGGTTAATGAATTTGACAAAGGAAATAAACTGAAGGAAGAAGGGCTTGTGGTGTGTTTTAGAAAGAGAAAATGGGTAAGTTTGGGCTATATATTGGGAAAAAGGTCTAGTTTGCCGCCGGCTTGTTGAGGCTAGATGGTCTAGTTTCCTCCCTTAACGTTTTAGAAACAGTTTTCACAGGCTCAGCTGCACCAGACGGCAAAAAATTTAGTTGCTAGATATATAATATTTATATAAAATTATAAAATATCATTCTTCACCTTGTTTATGAGTTTAAATTGAGAAAATTATAGGTACTTGAATCTCATAACCAATAATTATAAATCGATAATAAAATGTATTCTTTAATTTTAATTTGGGTTATAAATCTCATGCTCATAAATGTAAACTTGTTTAAAAAAAATGAAAAAATGAAAAAATCATTGGATTTTTAGTGAAATATTTGGGTTAAACTTGTAGTTGAATTAGTTTTTATTTTTATTAATTTTAAATTAATTTGATCTGCTAAATTTTTATCAAAAACACTTTCAATATATTTCAAATTGTGTGATTAAATCAATGAGTCAATAAACTGGATCAAAGCCTCGAATGATTTGGTGTTTGATTTGAGTTTACAATAATGGTTTCGAGCTCAAAACTTGAAATGGAAGAAAGAATGTGCAAGAGTAGCCACAATAACATCTAGATTTAACATTTCCATCCTTAAAAAATGTGCCTACCATGCATCTAGAAGTGAAAAGGAAACATGACGACTTAACTTTTCGAAAAGGATAAGTAAGGGATGAGAAGTTTCATATCCCAACACAAGCCAAGTGTTTTGCACTTTGCACAAACCAAGAAAGGCAAAGACAAAAAAACAATGTGAACCTTTGGAGCTTTCGGTTTAGTCGAGGCCAAGGAAGGTACCTAAATTTAATCTGAAGTCTTCCATATTTTTGGAAGGTTTCAAGCTCAAATATCGTATTTTAGTGAATTTATTACTTGAATTAAATTAATAATAATAAAAATAAATTTTAAAAGTGTAAAGTGGACTTAAATTTTTTTTTTTTCAACCAATTAAGTATATGACATATGTTTGGTGCCATTGCGTCAATTATGATGTATAATCACAATATGTCAACAAACGCTAAAATAATAGTAATGGGGAATAGAAAGCTCTTAAGATGCCCAATAATTCCTCTAATTTAGGCATCATTTGGGTACTTAGGGGGGAAGGCTTAATGAGGGCAATATTTTAGTGTAATGGCACAAAAATGTCACCCAAAATCAAGACCATTTGAGCAAAAAGGATTTATTGAATTAGGCATTGAAAAGCTTCATGCATACAATCCAATCATAGAGGGACAAAACATACTTTGTCAAATGTCAAAGTTTGAGACCTCATCACCTCAGCTGTCCCCGTGCTATTGGAGGTGTTTCATTTTCCTTTTTCTTTTTTGTCAAATATTTCCTAGTTATTGATATTTGTCTTATTTTCAAAAACAAATTGTTTAATACAATACCATTGATCAATTACCCATCGAATCCAATATAAAGCTTTTGGGTTGTGTTGGAAGATAACTTAAAAAAATATTAATGAAAGGTTTCTAATAAGCACTTACACTAAACATTAAAAAAAAAATTAATAATAAAAATATATTAATTCCTCATTTCTACCTTTAAACAGATGATGTGAATGTAAAAGTTGTTTTTCTATATAGTGACGATTGAGGGTATTATGTGTCAACTTTTAGGCATTATTTTTAATGTACTTCTACAATTCAATTAAAAATAGATTATCTATATGAAGAGAATTTTGATTAATAAGATAATCACTCTTTTCGAGCATTGAAACTCAAAAGGATGACAGTTCATAACAACAATCTTATACTTAATTAATCTAATGCTTAATCTATGTCCTTGATTATGACAACCACCACCAACAACCCCTTTTCCCACAAGATTTAAAGGGGTGATCACCAATGACTAATCACTTAAGTTTCTTGACTGTTTAATTAACCAAAGCAAGCATTCATCAAAACTAAAGGGCATCTTCAACTGTGATTAGTGGAGAGACATTAGGGTAATCATTATTTTGATTAGCTAATTAATTGCACCTTTATGTTTTTATAAGGTTTTGAAGTTGGTTTGGGTAATGTGAAGCTAAGTAGGAGTAGCTTACAATGATAATTTTTGTACAAAGAAAATAAAATAAAAATAAAAATTTAAATTATTTGAGTTGTGAGTGAGTTAAACTAGGAAATGAGAGAGAATTATCTTTGTAACCAAAAAATAAAAAATAAAATAAAATGTTTTGGAAATGGAGCTAGCATTCAAGGAGGTCTAAGGACATACTTTTAAGAAGTGGGGTAGTAGGAAGGAAAAAGGCCATTCAAGAAAAAACAGAGTGGCTGAAAATGGAAAATGCCCACTAAAGAGAATACTTTTATCTCCCAAGAAAATTATTGTTTAGTTAAGAGAGAAGGTGGGTGTGATTATTGGAGATTAACATAATGGGAAGATGACCTCCATGCAACTTCTCGAGTGGAGATTTGCTTTTTCTTTCTCTAATCAAAAGTTGGTTAAAAAAATACTAGTTCTCTGTTGCCCTTATGCTCTCATGCGATGCTTGCACATGTTTGTTCTTTACTACTTATTCCTCAATATCATTTAAATTTTATTTCTCTATTTATCTCCACTTATTTAATTTACATGTTGTTTGTGTCAAACCCAAACTTTATGCTATTATTGGAAGAAAATTAATTAAGATTATCACTTAATATGCAACTAGCAGTAATATGTCTTGGGAATATAATATGCCAAAGCATTGACAAGGGAATGATAGATCAATGGAAAGGGAGCAAGGGGATGTGACTTGTGAAGAATGAATGATTTTTTTTTTTTAATTACCCAAAAAAAAAAAAAAAAAACCTTCTTTTTTTTTTTTCTGTCCTCTTTTGGCTCTTTAAGGGCTGTTCATAATGGATCTCGAGCAAAAGAGTTTAAAGCAGTGTAATGGTTTTATAGGCCCAAATACAAGTGACCAAGCTCAATTTGGCTTCCTAATGAATCCCCAGATGGGAAATTAGGGTGTTATGCCAGGCCTGATTAAGGTCCAACTTGAATGAGAAAGCCTCAATCCCTGAAATTGACTTGAAGGAAGCAAATAGAGATTATTAGTACCCTATAAGCATGATCCTTTTTCTGTTCTTTAACTGCAAGCCAAAATGCCACGCTTATACAATACAATAATCTCACTTCTTGTGCTCCTTCGATTATAAAACGGCTTGATTTAATAAGGATTTTGTGTATTTATTATATATTATTATTATTTATTTATATAAAAAATAAAAATTAACTTAAATTTAAGTTATTTTATGTAATATTGATATTAAAAAATAAAGTTTTATATATTTTTTATATAAATTAATGATAAAAAGGTACAATAAACACATCATTAACTTATGTTCAAAAAGATCTATTAAATAACGACAATTTTATAATTACAATATCATGTTAGATTATAATTTGTAAACTTACAATTATGACATATTATTAAATAAGTATAATGTATTATGAAACAAGTGAATATATAAAATATTACGAATTAAATTTAGCATAAAAAGAACGAATTACATAATAATATATCTTATTATAAATTTACAATGTTATAGACATTATAATTATAATATTTTCAATTTAATAAATCATCCATTAACTATTAGTTTTTTTCGATCTGGAATCTTTATTTTTTTAAAGCCATCTATTAACTTTAAAATTATCTAATTTCGTCTATCTAACACAATTATATTATGAGATTGACAGAAATCCATATCATCGCTTATGTGCCATTATGCAAGCTGCCACATAAGCAACACGTGACAAGATCAATATTTCACAGACTATAGGGATCCAGTCTGGTTAAATCCATCAAATGAGCAGTTCTAAGAAGAGAATTCAAGGGACAATGGAGGAAAAGGTTTCAGAAAAAATAGATTTCATTTATAATAAATATTTACCATACATAATATGAAAGTAAGCAGGAAGATTACATCTTCATACGTCCAACACCCAGGCTCCAAAATTCTGAGTTGAATGCAGGATATGTACCTTTCCGTTTTTCTCTTTACATCCATCATTTTGCTACGTATATGTACGATCATAACTGCTGCTTTTGTCTAGGCTGTAGAACACCAAAATTCATTCATCTTTAAAGCAACCTGCAGGCTGGTTTCCAGTTCATGATATCAAGCAGCTAAGTTCATTACACACAGCTGTGATGAAGCAATTCCTCAACATAGATAAGCTAAAGCTCCCCATACCAGATTATATGTACAATGGGTGGCTGAAATTTCATGTGGAATCCTCCTCTGTAGTCAATACATGTAATCGTATACAATTGAATTCGTGTCAGGCATTACAAGAGGGAGATTTTCAATGAAAAGATAGAGATGCCTCAGGTTCTCTTCAGCAAGAGTACCCATGTCAATGATATCATTGTTGCTGGTGAGAACCCATAAATCTGTTGAATTCACCCTCTTTAGACTGCTGCGGCAAAAGGGGCAGGACTGGGAACGAGTATTCCTGCAAAAGAAGCACTAACATTATCACTCAATACCAAGCAAATGCTCAAGCTTGAGCAATCTTTAAAACATCAATGGCCAAATAAAAATTAGAGATACCAATCATGGAAGCAGCTAATGCACAATTCATGCCCACAGTTGGGCAGTACCATCTTTGTACAGTTTTCCATGCATATTCCACATTCATCATCTCTCTCCATATCTCTATCAGATAACTTCCTACGATCTTTCACCCCCTTTCTGTTCAAAACTTCCATGCATTGGCTTCGCTTCTGATTATTTTCTAATTCAATAAACTCACTCTCAAGTAGCCTAAGGGAAGGGTATATAACAGCTGCACGTAGAGTCAAGTGACTGAATTAGCAAGTGAAAGGGTAAGATATGAACAAAAAGCTAACACAAAGCAGCGGAGAAAACATACCATAAAATTCTCTTAATGTGGCTTTCCTCTCTTTGGAGGACAATGCAGGCACTCCATCAACATATGCCTGGACAATATCATGCAGCAAACTTTAAATAATTGCACTAAATTGAAGACAAAACAAGCTAAAGCCTAAAAAAATGAACCATTTGCACCACATAACAAGCAAAACCTCCTCGAGGGAAAAATAAACGAAAGCAAGCCTAACCAAGTGAACTCACCTTGTATACTAGTATGTGGAGAAGGCCTAAAAAACTAGGGAGGGTATCCATACAACTATAATCCATCCACTCTATCAAAAACAGAACGAAGGGAGCAAGAGGGCTGTAAGACAATCTCATTTGAATGCAATCCCCATCATAATCTCTTGGAAGACAAGCTGCCCTGAAAAATCCACATCCCCAAAACCCAAACCAAAAGGCACATTAAATTTCTAGTCAACAATTAACAAGATTTCTAAGAGAAAAGTAAAGCAAAAATGACGAACTTTGTCAAGGTAAGCATCAATATACCATCAAAGAACCAAAACAGACAACTTTGTGCATAAACCATTTTCCAAAACCAGAATTGAGCAATGACAATCAAAACTATGCATAATGTCTCTAGCAAAAAAATGAAAAATAGCTATTTATGAGAGATACCCATCTGAAACAAGCATAAATTACAAGTCAATTTCAATTAAATTTCACTTTCAGGACAAAATAGAACCTACCCACCAAATTACATGCCCAGAAAAGGAGGCGAATTTAGAAACTTTAGCAGCTGATCACCATCTCAGAACAAGGGGAAATGCATAAAGATAATCAATTATGAAATTTGGGTAGAAGCATATACAGTTTACCCAACCATGGCATCGAAATAAAAACTCACAGGCTATTGGCATGCTGTATATCAGCCTCAAGAGCTTTAAGAGATTCCCTAAAAGAAGATTTTCCCTGCTGTCTTTGCAACATCAATTTTACCCTTTTAAGAACCCAAAAAGGAGAGATGAAGAATGACAAAAAGACTAGATTTTTCCAGGGAATTTGGTTCTGGATTGTTGGGGGAATAATGGGATTTTGGGGGAGAAGACGATTATGCAGATACCTTTTTAAAAAGAGAAAAGTAGATAAAGTGGAAAAAAAAAAAAAGAGAGAGGTTGCTTAGAGTTGAAACCTCTTCAGAATTGAAGAAAAGAAAAGGATGCCTTGAGGGTCTAATGAATCTTTTCTTTGCCTCCATTATTTCCCCAACTGCATTCTGGGGTTGGCATCATCTCCAACTCTGACTTTGCTACTCATCTCTACTCTTCCAAGTAATACACTGAATTCAATTGAGAAAAGGAAAAGCCATTGCCTTTTTGTTTTTTTTTTTTTTAATGAGAAAAATAAGATGGCTTGACTCGACTTCACAGGAAAAGCATGGAAGGAAAATTTCAGTGGGTAGTCCCTAACCTTTCAAGAATAGTTAATTATGTCTTTAACTGATTAATTATGGCAATTTGCGCAATTTGGGTTAAGCTTTTCAAATCATTTCAATTGGGTACTAGTCTCTAACCTTCCAAGCACAAAGTGAATTTACCAAAGGAAATTTAACTATTGGCAAAATTTATAGCAATATCATTTTTTATTTGTGACAATCAAAAAATCTAATCACATTTATTTATAATAGAGATTTCTCAATAAAAACATTTTACTACCTTAATATAAAAAAAAGGACACTTATAATCACATTTATCATATACCTTCCGTCATTTAGTTTGGGCTTATGTTTCTAAGTTGATAGATTGGAGGGGTTAAAGTGAAGAGGTTGGAATGTTTGTTTAGGGTCTTTTTTTTTTTTTTAATGTGAAAATGGTCACAAAATGGCCATGGAGTTGATTAGGTGGCCTAACCTTCAGTTTTCAACTTGTGCAGTGAAGCAATTGATGACCTCTGTAATTGGTCAACAATTTTTTCATGGTCCACAGAATGTAAATAACCAGCTTTTACTATCTTAAATATTGTAGTTATTGCATTAAGTAAAACAATTTTCATAATTACACAACTGATTAACTAAATGAATGATATATGGCCACTATGTAGATGTGCACACTATAAACCGTACAAGAACACTTATGCTCCTATTTACATAAGAACAAAAATAGAAGGAGATGGGGGGAGGGTTTGAAACTTGAAATATGAAAATGTACCTGCTTGCAATAATTAAAACGTTAAGGATCTAAATGAACATATTTAAAAGATTGTGGACTGCCCTGGTAATTCACGCTAGCAAGAGACTCAAATCAAAAGGGCCTGCTGGTTCTGAATTCTGAACCGAAATGGAGCACCCACTACCCCATTTTGCCTGGTTTCCATGCAAAGGCAGGCCAGACAGCCCTCAGGCAGGCTTGCCCTTTCACAGGCAAAAATCCCTGAACTAATTCTGAATTCAATTCAAATCATCCCATGAGAGGTCTCTTCAGCTTGTTTGGTTCATTTCTTATATATAAAATGACATCATACACAAAACACAAAATATATAATATATATTTGAAGAAAAATATATTTACACATAAGTTTTATATATTATATTCATATAAAATTTTAATAATTTATTTTTTTATTTTTAATTATTGATACTTATTATTACTTTTTAAATAAAAAAATAATTATTCATAATAAATATAAATAGATTTCATACTTTTATTTAATTTCAACAATTGAAAGTAACAAAACAAATAATTAAAATTTTGTATAAATATAACATATATATAATTTAATATGTAAATAAATCCTTTCTATAAATAGATTTATATAAATA